AAAGCTGCAGCATATCTCTCTCGCATAAAATACCGTACCACCCATTACAGATAGTAATAGTAGTTTTTATCACTCTCTACATTTTTTTTAATTTAACTTCCTCTGCTCTAAAATATGTCAAGTCTTTCACCTCATATCAAATTACGCCACCTTGGTGACAGAAAAAGATTTGAATGTCCTCATTGATGTCGAATTTTATGAGTGAGAAAGGCCATTAATTTTCTTCCCTTTAATTAATAGAAATAGAATACAATAGAAGAAGTGAGAAATAAAAAAAATTGTTTCAGAATCTTTTAAGCCAATATAGTTTAATAAAAACTTACGACATCTACAAACTGCGACAAAAATTATAACAAAGCTAAATGAGTTTTGTGCGCGACGGACGACGGTGTCTTTGCGAAACAAATACGAAATGAGAAATTTCACAAGGTACAACTATTGTCTATCTATCCTTTGAAACTAGTGTTAACTTCTGTGTAAAACGAATATATCTATATAAAACCCTAGGCATTATATATCAAGAACCGGAAAAGACAAATTTATTACTTCATGTTATCACCTCAACCTCGAATAAATCGAACCGATTAAGTTTTATGTTAAAAAAACCTACTCTAACCTTGTTTTTGTTTTATATGGAAAATTGCTTACGCACATCCGCCTCGCGGGGGCAAGGACGGATTATGTCGGACTTGCACCGACTAAAACTCTGTGATGTTTCATCTTCGTCGCATATTGGCAGGTAAACAAAAACGCTTTTGCACACATCCTCCGCCTCTCACGAGTAGGGCCGCCAGGTAAAGCGCGCCAGAACCACACCTTCTTCAACTTCACTCGTGTCCGACGCAATGCAATACGTGTGACAGATAATGACATCTGTAGTCATTTTATAAAATTGATCACAATTCTGATAAAGCATAACATAAAGCATGCATGAAGATATAGTAAGCATGTGCTAAAACCATCAATGCACGCTTTTAGAAAGGACTTAATTAAAACGGCCTGCCTTTGACATTATCCTTGTATTTATAAGACAAAAGATATCAAGTGCACAAAAATATTACGCCTCATCCGACTCAAAGGACCATTTGTTAGGAAATTTAGTAAATAAAAAGTTATAATGAGCTGCAACATAACTATTTGATATAGAGAAACTAAGTTATATAAATGTGGTAAAGCCATGTTGCATGTATATTATGAGTAGGCACTTCCCACTGAGTAAGTATATTAATGAAATCGACTTGGTTTAAGAACTTAATTAACAACATGTGTGTTGTTAGTTAAATATTTCTAGATCCTTAGTTATCCTATTTCACCATATAATAGTAATTTTTCATGCAAATTTTAGTTTAAATATAACTTTTTATGTAAAACCTGTTGCCGAGAAATACCTCAGTCTATAAATTTGAGTGAAAGCATCACCTTTAATTTTGAATCATAACTTTTTGTTGAAAATTGTACATTTTTGGTGTAACTGCACTAATTCTGCCACAATTTGTGCTAGCTCGTGGCAGTGTTTTTTTTTGTAAATTCCATGTTAGCTCTTCAGTATGAATGCACCAACCAGTAAGAAATATATTTAAAGACATTAAATTAATATAATTAAATTTATATGCAAAATAACAAACTTTAGATTGTGGCACCAATTTTAGTTGTAAATATTATGTTCAATATGCAAACTTGAGTTAGCTTTGTACTAGCTGTTTGTCCCTAGACGTAGTACTGCATTTAACATCAGTATGTTATTATACATCCCCATATACTACGATGCTTGAAATCGGACGTGTTGTGCTCTCGTGCTTATAAAGCTAGAATGATTCTTAATTTCAAATTCTGATAACATGTTGAACCAGTGGATAGTTTATTGAAAATCCTTTAATAGTTTAAAGTCTCTTACAGTAGTGACTTGTTAAAGCGATGGCGTACCTTTTTCGACTATCAGAAAATGCTTTATAGTGACCAATTTAAAAATATTATGACTTTCACTTTCAATATGAAAATTTCAAATAAAATGGTTGAATCTAATTTTCCTGTTTCGTTCATTAAATACTTCAAATCTCTTACGCTACTTCTGGCAACAATCCATGGGACCGAATGGACCGAATCAGATCGACGCATCTGATACATGACGAAATAATTTATTTCCACCAACATTCCAAGCACTCTTACGTAAATATGAACGCCTGATATTTTTCAATACGATGAATGAACTTAGCAAATTTTCATGTGTAATCAAATTTTCATATTGTGATGTTTTACGTGAAAAAGGATGATTATTAATATATACAATATTTATAACACAAACAAATTTATAAATACATATCAATTTTATAAAATTTTATCAGTGGAATTTTCAACAATATTTTCATATTTTTTTTGTTTTTCCCCATAACAAAATTGCCCAACTTGCTTTAAGAAATTTTCACTACAAAAACATTTATAAAGCGCCTTATTACTACCATGGAACCAGTTATGTTTTCATCCAAACTATAAGAGACACCGAATTCCGCATACTTTCTATCAGGCAAGAAACTGACAATACTGAGTGTATCCTATATACATTAACAGATTATTGAAAGGAAAATTCTGAGCGAAGTGACGTTATCGACCGAGTCGGACCACTAAACAATCAGCGCGAATGCGCGCATCGAAGTGGATGCTGTGGCCTATAGACATTTACATTTATCCTAGATTAAAAATCAAAACATAGATGCGTTGACATCCCTGAGGACTAAGATGGTATTCCTCGTTTCAAGTAATAAGAGTGTCCGTTTCTCTTCACTCACCATTCGAAACACAGCAGCGTTATGCTGCTGTTTTACGCTGGTTTTCTTGAGAGCGTGGTCCCTCCCCGGTCGTGCCGACCCATTTGTGTTACAATATACTACTAATATAGCTGCAGCATGGCTCTACTACGTAAAGATGCTGATTTACAATGTTAAAAGCAATAAAACAATACAAGGGAAATGAATCTGGAGTGGGGAGCAACATCTATCTGATAACAGCTTATAATATAAAAACTATGTTTGCCAACTCGCCTAGCAACATCGGCATCTGCAGTTGGCCGATAATTGACCAACAACTTAGTTTAAAGGGAAAATGTAGCCCACTAAATTGGTTTATCGATTCATAACTAATCGTCATAATAGCATACATCTTAATACTAATTAGGAAACCGACTAAGCTTTCGCCCGATAGAAATTCTGCAGTTTATTGATTTCTGTTTTTTTCTTTTTAACGTTTGAATTACAAAATTATGTCTTTTGAATCCGCAATTTAATTTAAAAGACAAAAAAATGTATTAAATAAAATTCTATTCACGAAGACGCTTAATTATAACAGAAGCTTAGGCTAACGATACTTTATTTTAATTAATTGTTTGTAATTCTTTTTTTTTTTTATCTACTTATATACTCTATTTTTTTGTCTACTTATATTCCCTTATCTGGAAATGTATCCGACTAATGGAAATATATTTACTTATGTAGTTTGATGTAACGTAGGTTACCTGTTAGCTCGCGGTACTGCAGGGTCGTGGGTTCGAATACAGTAGAGATTAAGTGTTTGTATGGCTTACAAATAATTGCTCCGGGTCTGGATTGTAACGATAAACGGTAATATGGCCAGTATAAATAAAGACAGGCATTCCATTTTAGTCCTCGAGTTGGCAACGAATTAGCTATTACCATCTAATTGCACTTGTCGGGTAGTTACTAACGCCTGTATGTTTACTGAATGTATATTACGCGGTATCGTCGTCAATTGTGAACCGATATTTATTTAACCCTTTACTTTTTTAATCCACCAACTCTAACACTTAACATTAACGGAAATATTTACTAAAATTAAACAAGACTTAGACTCGCTACCCTTTGTCAAACTTTGTTCCGAGCGAGATTAAGTTCTAATCGAATTAACGTTATCTACGCCCCTCGTGTTTAGACAGATCTCTTGACAATCTGATTTTATTCCATCAGAACTCTGTCAACGATGCTTTCCGTAAAACTCTATATTGTATGAATAATAAAATAAAACTAACTAACTTTTAACTTATTCACTTATGAAAGAACTCCTTTTAAATCCTTTGGTAGATTTCAAACTTCTGAAGCGCTATAAATAAATCTAAACTAAATGAAATACTTTTAATTACTAATCTAACTATTGGAAAATTAAGAAGATAATGAAAATTTTCATCTTTCAAACACATTAGCTTAATTAACGGATAATTAAATAATTTCAAATCAAGTAAATTAAAATTATTTTCTACTAAACTTTCGTTATGACAATATTGTCTATGAAAACGATACAAATGTCTTAAACATTAATAAAGGGCTTAATTAATTTAAATAGAATAAGGAAGGTTGATTAATTAATTAAAGATAGTAACTCACCATCAGGTGGACTATAAGATTGTATGTCACTTCAGCTAACAACCTCCACTCAGAATTCATTTAATATCGTTTCAGTCCTCTTACGTCCTATAAAAAGATTTCAACACATTTACGAAGACTTTTTGCTTAACAGTTAACGGAGGACATCACTGACATTCACAAAATTTGATTTTTACTGCTGTACTCTCACTGATAAACATTCATGCATCCATTACAACCACACACAATTGCCATCAAGACGATTGAAAAAGTGTTTTATAGTTAAAGAACTGAGATACGGAGTTTGACGGAGCAGTTATTACAACATGCTTGCCGTCAATGGCTCCGATACAGTTAGGAAAATACCAAGTATTCCAAAACTCCTCTGCGATTCTTAGCCACTGTTCTTTTGTAGGGAGAGGCATTGTTTCCTTCATCATCCGTTCTATTATTGCACTGCAAACCTCTTTCACTATCTTGTTCACGGTGCTTACTCCTAGTCTATAACTAAATGCTATAGAAACGAAGGAGTCCCCAGTAGCTAAAAATCTGCAAAGAAAAACATTATAATATTATTAATTTGTTTCCTTATTTCAGGAACAGAATGTAAAAAAGCATGGGCATTGCTGCGAGATGCCTTCAGACGTTCTATTAAAAAGAGAAAAGATACTAAAAGTGGGCAGGCTAGTATTCCTGACAAAAAATGGAAGTATGAAGATGAAATGGAATAAAAGAAGACCTACTATATGTCCTATTCCAACAATACCAGATTTTGATGACGACAACGCTAACGAAGAAGAAAATATTGCTCAGTCACCTGAAGTTGGGCAACAAACGACCGACATACCGCCATCTACACCTGAGGTTCGTCAACAAATGGCTGGTACATTGCTAACTACACCATCACCAACTACAACTGAAAACTACCGTCAGCCAAAACGCACTAAACGAGGACAAAAACGAACTGAAGAAACACCTAGCACAGTACTAATGAAGTATATAATAGACAGTAAGAAAAATACTCCACCACTGGATGGCATTGAACAATTTACGGCTGGTATGACAACTACCTTGCGATCTTTTCCACCAAGAGACAGGGCTATTGCAAAAGCCAAGATATTTGAAATAGTCTCTCGTATGGAAATAGATATTCTGAGCAGGCCATCCACAAGTACTTCTATGGTATCCACACCATCATCGTATAACTCGAACTATGCAGAAAGTACTCCTATGCCAGATACAATGCAGGACTTCTCCCAAAGATATTTTTCGCTAGATACAGAGGAACTGACATATGAGCGCTTAGAATAATATTAATGAATGACCCTGATACAAAAAAATTCTCAATAAATCTTCCTGAACATACTGTTTTTCTTTTGGTGACAAGGCTTCCTTGAAAACTGTATCTAGTCAAGTTGCGGGAGCTGCCGAGAGCTTTTTAAAAACTAATTAAAACTACATGTTCACAGAGAGAGATGTAAATATATATCTGACCATTGTCTTTTACAATTCTTAATCCTATGCTTACAGACTACTTAAATTACTACATACTCAGCGTTTTTGTATTTATGCTGATGGATGCTTTATACGTATTATGAGTGGTGCTGGTGTAACCATAATTTTTTATCAGCGGTTCTATTTTCTTTAGTAAAATATCGAACTGAAACCGACTCATACGAAAATATAAGAAAAATGTTTCTTCTTCGTCAATAAGTTCTTTAAACAGTGTCCAATATTCTCCTTTTAATTCTCTCTTCTTGAGCATAGGATGAACGGCCATGCGTTTTGCTCTTTTTTTAGTTTTATCCCGGTCTTCTTCTTCTAGTAACAATGCAATTATTACTAAATCTTCCACAGAGAAGTGTCTGAACATTTTCTACAAAAATAAACGTGCTTTTCCTACAAAAGCTATTCAATAAGTGAGAGCGGTTGCGTCTGACGCCCACGACGGTGTCTGTCGATGACAAGATGCACTTATGGCACGCTAGATGTAAATAAACGGTTTCTGTGGGTGTCTGCCATGACATTTGTCTGTAACGCACTGTGTCTGTAGATATAAATGTTCCTTCAGAGGGTGATTTTTAGAGGTCGATAGGCTAAGGCCTACTTTACTAAAAGCCTATTTTACTCTTGCCTTTAAGCCACCCTCATTATGATTGGATAGAAACACAGATTTTAGGAGATTATTCCAATCCTTTCCAGCACTATGAACACATTTTTGGATTTTAAACTCTATGTATTTCGGCATTCTCCACAAGTCAACCACGAGCAAAGCAAAGAAACTTAAGCAGCTGCAGAGCATTACACTTATAAATATATATTACTACAAATTAAAATTTAAACAATTTAAAAAAATACTTGTTCTACGCAATAACCTTCAGTGAGCAATTTTTTGAGACCTCGTGTGCAGATGGAAGAACCGACCGTAAAACGACTCAGTACAAATTACAAACCTATTAAGGAAAATAACCTTCACTTTTACAGAATTCTTAGTTCGCTATCTACGGGATTACGTTCCTTTTAAACTTGACGTGGAATACAAGTTTCTTCTACAACAATTGTATTTTCATCATTTATTAGATCAAAATATTTATCAATAAATTGCCTATCCATTAGTGTCAATCGCAAAATTATGAGGAGATGCACGTTATCAATAATTATTCCGTGTTTCTGTGGTTTCGTTGTAGGAAGGTTCATCAAGTATTTACTCATTTAAAAAAAATGAATTGGCTATTATGAAATCAAGATTATGTAGAAAACTAATACATTTTATATTAGTTATATATCTTTTTAATAACAAGGATAATTCCTAAAAACCTCAAAAACAACGACTATCGCGACATTTTAATTATTTTATTTTAAAACGAGACATTTGCAAGTTCTGCGCTATCTATATTACGAGTAATTTGGTACAATTATCTGTATTAAAATTTAAAATGAAGAGATATGAAGAGAATAGAAGAGTTTAGTCTTAATTAACAATATGTTTTCACATATTTCACGAAATCGTCTCTAATTTTACATATTATGGATACCGATATGAGTTAAAAATAGTAATAGCGTCTATATCGAAAAGAGCAGCTTTTACCACAAGTGAACAAAATATAAAAAGATAAATCAATTGAGTGTCACAGCGAACTTAAAGAGGGTTCTTCAAAGCTGCTAACACGGGGTAAGAAAATAAAGTAAGCTTAGTTCATTTAATATCCGTCGTTAAACACGAAAGCAGGTTTAGAACCTAATAACAATTCGCTGTTTTTATTTCAGTGAAGCCTATTTAAATACTCTTAAATAATTTGTATTTGATAAAACTTTTATATTTTTATACAGAAAGCTTAAATGCCTTTTAAATATTAAATTAATTTAAACAGTGAATCAAGCTGTTGATTTCTAGCAACTAGCGTGTAATTACTCTGAAAGCATTTTACTGACATAAATTAGTTGAATGTTAATAAATATAAGAACCAAGTTTTAAGTATTTTTATATTTTTATGCAGATTTTTTTTTCTAATATATTCTTGTACATATAATTAAAGCCGTGGTAGCTCAGAGCTAAGCGCTCCCTGTAATAATTAACTACATGCGAGCAGCCCGGGTTCAATCCCCTCAGCACCACTGAATTTGTTAATCGTAATTTTAAGTGCTGATTTACCATCATCTCGGCGGTGAAGGAAAATATCGTAAAAAAACTTGCGTGACTGAGAAATAAGAAAAAATACTTCGAAGACATGTTAAGTTTGCCAACATGCATTGGGCAGCCCGGCGGATATATCCTTGCTAATAAAACCCTCTCAGAAATGAGAGGAGACTTATGCCCGGCAGTGGGACTATATAGGCTGTAACTTTAACATATGTGTTATAATGTTTATTCCCCATACTACATTATTTTTATGAAATATTATTTGAATTATATTGAAAAACAAAAATATAAATACACAAAAACTGTCATCTAAATTAGGTTTCAGTACGTGGTAGAGCAACCCTGCAGCTTTATTACGGTTGTAATATGAATGGGTTGCCTCGATCGGGGAAGAACCACGCTCTCACAGAATACCAGCATAAAATAGCAGCTTAATGCTGCTGTGTTTCGTATGGTGAGTGAATAGAACCGGAGAGCCCTTTTAATGGACATGAGGCATTCCATCTTAGTCCTCAGGGTTGACAACGTATCTGCACATTGAATCTGAATCGAGAAAAAATGGACCACAGTATACACTTTCCATCAGATGGTCTGTGTGATCGTTTGTTACCCTTATTCTGTATAAAAAAATTAGGATCTAGATCAATGTGATAAAAGATTGTCAACGCTTGGATAAATAAAAAAACACACACCTGTTGACTATAAACCCGTAATGCCTTCATCTCTACCTACAATGGGACAGCCTCGCATTTTGTATTGGATATTACCGGCTGATAGGGAAAGAAGTGCCGATCAAATAACAAAAATCAAAGAGCACTAGGAACAAAATATTTGTACCTATTGAATCACAAATAAAGATTTTGAATTTGATTATCCGAAAGGATCAAACACAATGCACTGGGCGTCTTGTTTAGTTTTGTATCATATAACATTATACGTTTAAAATATAAAAACTGACTTAAATAGGTAACAGCGTTTGAAGCCAGTGCTTCAGAAGCTGTTTTAAAATTATTTTATTCTTTTTGAAGTGAAAACTGCTTTAGAGCGTTGTTGTGACTTGAAACTCAATGAAACGAAAAAGAGACACTAAGAAGAGACAAATAAAAGGTCGGGGAAAAAGTTTCTTTGTATTTTGTTTGTATAAAATTGAATAAAAATCTCTTTGGTTGTAATGTTTGTATCTAGATTATGCTAGATATTCTTATGATTACAATATTATTTTCATTTTATTTTTAATTTAACTAAAGGAGATGAACGAAATTGGGTGCTTGACGACGTATCGAACAGTTATACAAAATATGCAGGTAATAAAACGATAAATTATAAGCATAATTAAATGGTTTTTATTTTTGTAGTTTTAGTAAAAATCATAAAAACATTTTTTAGACTGAAAGACGAAAGCTAATGCTTTTACTATAGCAAAAACAAAACGTTAATAAATATTGTGGCCGTGGAAGGAAAAGGGGAGATCTCCCGCCGGGCAAGGTGTTCTGCCCGGGGAGCGGCCAACACTCTGCGTGATAGTTCGGAGCTGTTCTATATATACTGTTCATGATTCGGAATGTTGATAGTGCAATTTAGGCTTCGGTGTGTTTCGCTTGTGGCGCGACGACAGCACCGCTACAATATATTCTGTATTTCGTCTACGGCAATAAATAATAACGGCTTTTTAACAAGCTTTTTGCCATGGATGCTTGTCTTTTAAGCCATTCTTCATTTCATTTGAGATCTTCGTATTTAAAGATTTTTTGTAGTTGACGCGAATATGATGACAGTCACTCAAGTTCGTAAGGCTCTAATATTACTTGAGGTTTATATTGATGTCGATGCACTTGTTACGTCGATTTTTCTAATAATTTACACGCGCAGATAATTAATTCACAAAAACGCATCACTTTACGTATCAAAATATACTTCAAATCATTATTTGAACGATGAAACTGTAAACAATCCGCCGACGCTAAAGTACCCTACAAAACTACATAATGAAAGCTATTTTTTATTTTGAACGTTTCCGTGATGTATATAGACTTCATCTATTGACCTATTAAAAGGTTTGTGGAGAAATAATAATAATAATTTTATTTCATTTTTTTAATTTGACCAAAAATATATACATAATATAAAACATAAACATAACACTATTTAGGGAACTTTCTTCTTTAGCGCGTCCCTGTATCGGCGATACCCTAGCCCAGAAGGTCAGAAATTGGGTGCGAGGAATGTTTCTGTGTATTTTGCAGGAACCTGGAGTATATAGGAATTGAAGTTCGTTGACCTATAAAACTTCAGACACTGTAAATGTGATGAACTGTGACCCATAGACATCTACATTTATCCCCGATTAAGAATCGAAATGCAAGTGCGTTGTCACCCTTCAGGGCTAAGATGTATTGTGTTTTCAGTAAAAAAGGTTAGAAAAAGGGTAAAAATTCTCTGCTCTTGAGACACCTGATTCTCTGCTCTTGAGACATCTGATTCTCTGCTCTTGAGACACCTGATACATGACATCTATTTTTTTATCGAACAAAGGCCAGGAACTCGTGGACTTCAACGGTACCGAAGCAATAAGGTTGACACGCCATTTCGAATTATTTTTGTTCAGTAGTTACGCCACGAAAATATTGCGAAGCGACTGCACTGACCGGTAGTAGAATTGCGACTGAAACTT